TCTACCTTCAATACTTCTCGTTGAAACGCTCCTCAGTTGTATTACTCGATAGCATTGTGTATTAGTTTGATTGTTTACACCAACTCGGCATCTACATCCCTACATCTCTACATCTACTACGCGCTGAATTGCATCAGCAAAAGCGCGCGCGAAAACTGTGTTCGGCCACGTTAAATGCAGCAAACAGGAAAATCCAACATATTTATCTATAACTGACATTGTTCTTCGCCCAATTGAAACACCGCAATTTGCGAAACGTTTGCGATTTCTTTGTTCCTATCGGAAGTACGTAGTGGTTCCTGATCTCGCCCAACCATATTTAACCTAGGGAGTAGGGTATACACGAGAGATTAGGGACTGGACAATGATTTCCTAATTGGCAGACTTCTAAACAGTCTATTTTTTTTTGTTGACTTAATTTCTCTGCTCATTCCAATCCTTTTCGGGAGTCGTGTTCCACTACGCACAGCGACTTTTTTTTTTATACATATGAATAGTGATTATTTTGCAATAAAGCATTTTGAGGTTGTTTTCACTGGTCGCTGACTTATTGCCTCATTCTTTCAGCCTTCAATTTTGACCTTCTCTTTTTAAAGAGAACATACGTTCGAATAGAGCTCGTAAATTGGTGTATCATTTGTGCATATATTTCTATATACTGCACTTTTGAATCTAAAAATTTGATAGTTGACTCGCAAATCGTAGAGCATAATTGCACAAAGAATTATCTATAGAAAGGACTGCCACGGCGAAAAATTTCTCGTGCATAATCGTCTTAAAGTTGATGGTACAATGATTTTATCGCTGATTGTAATTGATTTTTTAAAGCTATTAAACTCTAACTCAGGGGGAATTTCTTGGTCAACGCCACTCAGGCTAGAGCATTACACTTGACAGAAACTGAATCTATCTTAGTTTCACCCGCTTGGTAGCAGTTGTGTCTTCTTGAGTACGTGCTCATAGAATTTTGTTTAGCTGCCAAACATACGAATGGCTCAGTGGATTCACCAATGATTTATTAACTATCTTCAAGAGGTCAAAGATAATATCGTGTGGCTTGTACAAGAATTGCAAGAGAAGCAACTTGATGTAGAAAAGCTGTGTAAATTTATTTAGAGATTATCAGAGGTGTAGTGAGCATCTACCACTGACTACACTTACCACAAGTTGAACTTCGCTCAATCCTTCGCTTAATTATCTCTACCGAGCGAAGCGAGA